AGAGAGAGAGAGAGTCGTATCTCGAGCAAGCTTTGTGTGCATTTCAGAGTTTAGGCATTTTGATGATGGATTAACATTTTCTAAAAGGATATGTATGGATGCATTCAAAACTTTTAGGCCATCTGAAAATTATTAATTGATTACTTGATGATTTGTTTAGAGGAACTGAGTCACAATTTATCACTCAGTAAGTGTTCTAGCACTTATTTGGGGATCATTAGTTACTGGATTGTATAAGCATGACTGGTCAACTTCTTAATTACCAACACTACATATTATCTCCAAACTCCTTGTGTTAGCTTGGAATATCATCCGACTTTCGGAGTATTTAGACATTGTGCTTAACTGATGCTTAAACCTTCGAGTTTTTGAATGTCTATCACCATGTAGTTTTATGTAACATCAGGTTTTTTTTATTCTAGTGTATGGTTGAAGAAATTGGATTGTGGCCTGCTGAAGTTCTTAAGATATTATATTGTTATCTTTCTCCCTAGAATCCAAAGGTTTTAAGATTAGCTAGAATAAAACAATATATGAAATGCAAGTTTAGTAATAATAGGAGTACAAACAAGGAAGTAGTTAAGATTGATGGCCAGGAAGTGCACAAAAGACCTCACTTTCGATATTCCATGAAAATGGAGAGATTGATGAAGATGTCGCACACAAAATTAGAGCTGGGTGAGCAAAGTGGAGATGTGAAACTAGAATTTTTTGTGATCGCCGCATACCAATGAAGCTGAAGGGCAAGTTCTATAGGACAGCTGTGAGACCAGCTTTAATCTATAGGGCAGAATGTTGGGCGGACAAATACAATATACCCATAGAATGAGTGTAGCGGAGATGAGGATGTTGAGATGGATAAGTGGCAAGAAAAGAAGAGATAGAATTCGAAATGAATCCATTCGAGAGAATTTAGGTGTGGCACCAATAGGCGATAAGATGAGAGAGAGTAGACTTAAATGGGCTGACCATGTGTGGCGCAGACCAAATGCAACATATATTAGGAGGTGCGAGTTAGTTCAAGTGGAAGGACTGAAAAGGGAAAATGGTAGGGCTGAAAAGATGTGGTTGGAAATAGTTCGAAAAGATATGGGGACTTATAGATGGTATGACCTTTAATAGAGCAGAATGGCAGACCAAGATTCGTGTAGCCGGCCCCAATTAATTGGAAAAAGGCTATGATGATGGTGATAATATTTTTCTCTTTTAGGGAGTCAGTTTTCTATTACCTCATATGTTTTTGCATTTCTTTCCTAGAACTATTGCAAAATTGAGATATTATAGTATGCAAGTCATTCTACTTGAGAAACACCAACCTCCATGCACAAATGCCTGTGTGTGTTCATATCTTACATGGTTTCTTATGTTTGAGTGCTGAACTCTTGTTTGGTATGTGTCAACACGTGTAACAACACATTCATATGTAATCATTTTCATATTCCTGACCATTGATTACATCATTAATAATTTTTGAAGTTGAGGTTTGTATAAGATGCGCATCTTACACTATACAAGGCGTATCTCTAAATTATGCCGGTTCTGCCGGATAGTTCCAATGTAGGAAACCTTGTGATGACTTGAAAGCCGGTTCTGCCGGATAGTTCGAATGTAGGAAACCTTGTGATGACTTGAAAATCTATGTTCTACCTTAATTATGATATTTAAAATTCCAACAATGATGTAGATCAAGCAAATCTATAAACACTTGAAAATCTTGAAAATTGATGGCTCAAATAACTTGTCACAAGATGTACTATTTTTAGGACTTGGAATTCATTTTTTTCTTCAATCCATACTTCTCACGGTTGACATTATCGATTGGAAGGTTTTCCAACTTCGGAACACTCTTTTCTACTAGATTTTTTATGTGAACCCTACTTGTATAGTATGAGGTTGCAACCATATGTAGACTATTTCCTTTTTTTAATATTAATTTTTTCCTTTTGTTTTAATTAAGGTTGCACATGTACTTTGAGGATATCTATGAGTCATGATCGATTCTTTTGGCCACTCATCATGAAAGGGAATATCAATAAACAATGTTGGATTTGGTTATCCTTGTTGCCCAAGCTCGTTTTTCATGGAATAGGGAATCCGATGCCTCTGTTTAACCCTTACACACAAATACCCTCGTCCCTGCAGCATAGATCTGTTGCAAGTAGATGTAACTGGCAGTCTTCTGCATACCATTTATACTGATTTACTTATGTTTATGCACATTGTTATTTGGCAATTCATCGTCAGAGCCATTAGCACTTTTAATCTAGCTGTTTTGTTCTGGGCTGTGAAGCTGGGCTTGTAGGACTTGTTGTGCTTAGAGATCTTGCTCTCATTGGTGGTTCGATCTACAAAAGAGCTGAGAGCCTGGATTGGCAGGTGAAGTTAGCGTATTTGTCCTCTTATGTGATACATTTTAGTTAATGGTGGTTTGGATTTTCTAGGCCATCATGCACTTCTAATCTAAGCTATTCATGCCATAATTGGGGTGCCTAAAGAAGTTCAGTTCTTATTCCAGTGGAGAGGATTGTCCGATTTCATAAACCTTCAGGGGACTCGTGTTGAGAAAGTGGAGCCCCTCTTAATAAGCAAGGTATGGGTAGTTCTCTTTTTGTTGTTGCATGTCTAGTGATATAAATATCATTGTCGCAATGAATGTTTCGATTGCTATTGCGTATCCCATACAAGTACCCTTGAAAACGGAACACATGAAATCTAACGAGTGCCATCTGGAGAAATCTTAGATCTCATATGTGGTATCTTTAATTGTTTTTGGTTCTTGGTGATATTTTTTTCTGAGGTTCTCTCAGTTGGGGGTTTTCCTGCTCTGGCAATACTCTCTTGAAGTAGCAAGTTCTAGTCATTGTATAAGTAGAGCATCCTAGCTGTTATCTAGAGTTGTGATTATTCAGTTCTCGATGGTTGGATTGCTTGTAGACTTGAAGGCATTTGTTACTGTTATCTAAAGTTGTGGACAATAGACTTAGCTCTCGATGGTTAGATTGCTTGTAGCACTTGAAGGCTTGAAATTTGAGTTTTAGACTGCACGTTCAGCTGTTATATACGAGTTTCTGAAAGGCAAATAACAAAGTGTACAATCTATAGAAGCCAGAAATTACCCAAAAAAACGAAAAGAAAAAGAACAGCAGATAAGCCAAAGACTATAATTTTATTATTTGATAAAGAAAAGTAATCTTTCTACCTGATGATGCAGAATTCAGTCTTCTCCTAGAATCTAAAATTTCTGTTTTAGCATTTTTGTTTTTTGGGTTAGTTCTATTTAGTTTTTGAAGGTAAAGATTTGTTTTCAGAAGAGGGTATCAACTGTGTGTTACGGACTTCTCCAGTCTCGATTATCTACTCCAGTAAGAGACAGGATGGATAATGCCACCTCAAAACTTGCTGGGTCGATCTGGAACTTGTGCGTGTTGACCTGGCTCACCATGCAAGCTAGTGAACAAGGCATCTTTTTACTAGGCCTATTTAATTGGTTATGGGTTTTCTCATTTACATTAAAGGAACTTCAGTGTTTTGTTGGTTATTAGTTCAAGGTTGCCTGTTGCACACAATTGTCACCAACTTTAAGATTGACATTTCAAACTTGTTTTAGAGTATTTCAAATCATGAAGTAGAACAGATTGATATCGTTTATCTGGTCTCAGCTGCCCCTTTTCTTGAATTTGTTTGACCCTCAATTCTAGAGGGGCCTAAAAGCATTGGATGAACAAATCTCTAAAGAAAAAAACAAAATACGAGGCACATTTAGCATACACCTCATTGAATGGTCTAAAGGTATCCGAATAGATCTGTGCCCTGATTCCTCTCTCCTCAGAACTAGTTCCTGGATTTTTGTTTTTTCGAAAGTTTTTATGGGAACATTCTCTAGGGTCAAAGAGGATATATTTGCAAACAAGGACCCTAAAAGATTAACTAACTTCAAAAACTTGGTAGTGGCGAACTTGTATTAGCGTGTAGGCTGATGTAATTTTTCCTATATATATTAGACAAGTGTTTTAAGATGGTGGGATGAATTGCACACTCACCGATCAAGATTTGAGGGATCGGCCATTTGGATTGGCTGGGTTGGCAATCTGTAGAAAAGGAAAGGGGGGGGGGGGGCTTTATCATTTAATATTTATTTATTTGGACAAGTTATGCTGTACGTTTTCTTGGTTACATTAAACACAAGTTCTAGGGTTTGATTTCGCACTCGTACCATTTTTTTTTTTTCACCCCTTATTGTATGTATGATTTCTTTATATGTTTAAATCTAAAAAAAAAGAGGAAGCACTAGTCATGAGGCTCAAACCTCCAACATGAAGGAACTAACACGTGCTAACCAAATGATTCATTTAACGTTTTTGTGACAGATTGTAGATAAAGTAGTGAATTGCCTGGCACAGTCATTGGTAATTCCCGATCCGGATCGGCAAGTTTTTTGACACTGATATAGGCATAGACAAGCAGGTTTGCATGCATGCGTGCATAAGGCAAATCTGAGTTAAATAGAGCTCTTTGGATGACTCAATAGACAACTGCATCATATGTGAAGTTTGTTATTGCAGTTACAATATCTTGCAAAATTCATGTCAAGAACACTTCCGGAGATACTGTATTGTGTATAATCTCAACTGGAATTTGTTTCTGTTGTCGCAGTCGTGTTAATATTAGTTGTCGTCCATTGCAGTTGAACACAGTTTTGCAATTAAGCCTAATAGCAGCAGCTCTTCTCCAGCCTGAGTTTGGTAATGATGACACTGCATTTTGTATCACATACTTGAGGTAACAAGTCGAAGTCACTTGCCATCTCTCTCTCTCTCTCGCTCTCTCTCTCTCTCTTTGCTGTGTGTTAGTGACAACACAGACGACATAAGCCTGGAAGTTTTTCTGTAAACAGTTGGTTGGTAGTCGCTACAACAATATCATCTTCGGCAGCTTATGGCATGATGTATACCCAGAAAAGCTCAACAACATGTGCAGGGAAGTGTAGATCTCTCTTGGGAACCAAGACATCATAATCTTGAAGTATTTGGGAAAAATTACTAACGGGAGTTCTAGCACCATTTGCTATCCAATGTAATCCACTTCAGGCGAGAGAATATCCCAAAGAGATTCGGGAAGCTGTTGATTTGGGGTTATAACATTGAAGAAATGTAATATAGTGAGAGATGAACTAGGAGCCCCTAAAGCAAGGGGATTAAAGGTGAGGAACACGTGTTGGTGGTTCTCCATTTATTTGCTCTTGTTCTGGCTCAGTTTTGCTAACTTAAAAATGAGGTTGGAGTTATCTTATTTGCCTCGTGTTCTAAATTTATAGAAAGTTTTCAGTGATATCAACGGTAAAGTGATCTATTAGAATTTGGTTTTCTGCACCATCTAGTATATATGTGGTCTGTTAACATCTATGTTGTGAAGCAGATGACAGATTCAGCAAGGGGTTGAGCAACAAGAATACTAAGCAAAGTGAGAATGGGAATCTAGTATGAAATTCTACCAAGATCGTGAGAGGACAGACATGACTAGTTACGAGAGATGCATATATAGGGCAATTTGATTCACTTGTTGCGAGCTATTTGATTGTTATTTATTGGAGTCTGTTTCACTGCACCTGAAGTAATAAAGTTTCGACTTAGGTGACGGTTGTTGAAAAACTTGTATGCTGAGTGTTTGGTTCATGAAAGCTTTTTGGCCGCATGCCAACAAAGATCTTCAAGATGAGCTTTACATGATTCTGGATTGGTATGTTCATACAACTGAAAAATGTCTTTATGCGGGATAATGTTTCTCCTTGCGGGGCTGCTTTCCTGTGTAGGGACCATAACTGCCTCTCCACTCCTAAAAGTGAATAAATAAAAAAGCCGCAAAACACACCTCTCTCTGACACTCAAATCTTAGGCTCCCCGCTTTGGTATACTATTGCAGTCAAACACGAAACTGCAAGAAAATGCTTCATCCTAGAAACTGTGGGTAAAAGATAGATTTTTGGTAGCCATGAATTTTATGCAATATCATGTGAATTCTTAGAATATTTGGGTGACACCTGACGTGCATGATTCGACCGATCACAAAGGGTGAGAGATTTTCCCGTCATTGTTAAGGTTGGTAGCTCTGGTTTGATTCCAATAGCTTGAAGAAACGGGGGGGAAGGGGTTGTAATAATGGAGAAGTTTGGGTTGGGTTGAAAGCTTATAGGGAGTGGGACATTTATAGGAGATAAAAATATCATTGAATTGCGGTTCTTTCGAAGAGAGTGTCTTGGACTTCTCTGCAGTTAAATGACTTCATCCAAACCAGACACAATACAAAATACTATCATTTATTCCCTTTTGTAAAGTATCTTAAACAAATTTCCCTGTTGTCTCTTAAGTTTTCCAAGGCTTCTTTGATAAGGTACTGCTGGCATCAAGGCAAATACAGACTGCACTCCTGTAGTAGGGGTGTTGACTTGTAACCCCAGTATGCAAGGCTAGGTGGCCAGAATGTTAATTTTAACCATTCGGGCTGTTATTTTTACATTTCATTTGGCAAGCATTGCTTGAGTAGCTAATATCTTAATGGAAGTGTCTGACATGTCCATGGGAGGTTAAATCTCCTACCCCAGCAACTAGAGAGGTACCGGTCAAGTGGTGGCTAAACAAAGATGAGGCCAAACTGTCTCCTGGGCCCTCCATGCCCTCCTTCCCTTTCGAGTATGGAAGCAAGGAGATCGAGACACAGGATGCTCCGGGGAGTGTGGGCGCATTTCCGGTTCATATAATAGGCTACTAGTGACTGGAGCAAAGAATTCAAGCGTTGATCCGTCATCGTTACAAGAGGAACCTATCTCAGTCTCCTCCCTATCATCCCCTTATAGAACTGGGGGAGAAGTGGGCTTCTGCATTATGAGGGGTCTCAGTTTCTGTCCTTGAGCACGAGGTTTCCCTTCCCCTCTTTCTTAGATGCTCTACCATGGGCCATATTACAGGCGGCAATATCTGCCATGAATTCTCTATGGACTTGGGTCTCTAGAGTATAGAAGCGGTTATTTCGTAACAAAGAAGCATATTGAAACATTGCAAAAGAGGGCGCTAACACATCTCCTTGCTGTCCAGTGACCCTATTATTTTTTAATGTATCCAGCACAATAATTGAGTTGTGCTAAGCCTTCAATCTAACCAATCATAGAGTTAATTGTATATGATCTAATGGTCAGCAGGGGCTCTAGTGGCCTATCGTTTCCCAAGTAAGGGATTCTTCTTGGCCCAACTAGTCGTAAACTCAACTCATGGGTGTGCCTCACCCCCTGTTTGCCTACGTAAAGCCTAGCTTTTATAATCCATGGCTTAAAGTGAAGGGAAACTTGCATTGGCTTGACCCCTCTAATGTAAATATAGTTATTGACCTAGCTAATCACTTATTGAAAGGTCCATGCCCCTTTATGCTTGCATAAAGCTTAGAACCTATATTCATCCCAACACTAGGGTAGTTTTTCTAGGTAAATATAGTGGAGGACCTGCATTGGCTTGACCCCCTCCAGTAAAGATATAATTATCGGCTTAGCTAGTCACTCGTGGAAGGTTTGAACTCTGGTCCATACCCCTTTTATGCTTGTGTAGGGCTTGGATCCTGTATTCATTTTCCACTAGGGTAGTTTTTGTAGGTAAATATAGTGTGGAGGACCTTCGTTGGCCAAATCCCTCTTAGCATAGATATACCCAACTAGTCCATTGCTAAAAGTTTGAGCTACGGTTCGTTCCCACTTCAAAATGGGTTGGTTGACAGTAATCGAGTTTGGCAATACCCAACTGCCTTGGTCTTGTGCCATGTCTTATCCGTCATGAAGGAAGGGCTCAAAACTTCCTTATCTTCCCCTTCTTTCTTACCATGACATGTAAAAATTGTGTTGCGATCTGACTTTTGACATAAGCTATGATATGGGCAACCTGACCTCAAGATCCCTGTACCAAGATCACGGTGTCTTTAGCAGACTTCTTGGCTACAGGAAGGGAAGTGGTGGCATAGAAATGTGTTGTAGTATGGTTCATGGCGGGAGGTAGCTCAACAGCTTGTCCGATGAGAACACATTTGTTCCCAAGGAGATCAAAGCATGAGGGATTCCTTCTTTGAAAGGTGGAGTTGAGGCCATTTGCCCTCGACTCAATTGAGAGGTGATCGATAAGAAGAGAGGCAGACTGGTCCCGATTTTTTGAGGTTCTTAAGCTATTCATGAGGAAACATAAGAGGATAATATTGAACATAGCTTTATTTTATTTTAAGGTGAATCGTTTCCCAGGTACCCATGGATTCCTTGTTAATTATATCCACCTCCCCAATAATGGAGGAGAGGAACACCTCTATTAAATGGTTACAAATGGCTCAAAATAAAGAAGTAGAAGCAGCAAAGTTTACAACATATAACCTTACTCTTCTCTTCTTGTTGGTCCTTCAAGTACGCGACGTGTGTGTAGCTGATCACTCTTTTTATTACTTTCCTCCATTGTCAATTGCCTTTGCACTTGTTGCTATATATAGAGTTGATTCTTATCCTCTTATTTTAACAGGATGATTCTTACGTGTAGAGATCCATGGTGATGATATGTTTAACATTTATCCCTCTGATAAATATGACTTAGGGGCATGAAGAGTGTATAGAAACTCAATCCTTTTGATAAACCATTGTGGCTCGTGTGTCTCTGTGGTTCATTCGCCAAGGCAATTGATGCCTTTAGTAATGTTTATTCCAGGTTCATCGGGATAAATGTGTTAAAAATGAACGAGTTTTGGCGGATCGTACGGCCATAGTTGGTAGAGAACTCAACCCAGACAACTCAATTTTTGCCCATGAACTATTTGTGTCAATGGATTAGTTCGATCCAAAACTTGAGATAAAAGGTGTAGATCGAAAAACAATTCATAAGTGGTTGTTAATGGAGTTGAAGTTATCAAATTTTGAGAAGTCGGTATAAATTTATGCTTGATTGCCCCCACATAGTTTTTCGAACTACATTTTCTAAACAAACAAGAGCCGATCCGAATTGATCATGTAACATATTTGCTATACGGCAAAAAGAATATACGTTTTAAAGGGGGGCCTAGAGAGGTTAGAGAGCGAGAGAGGAGGGAGGGAGGGAGAGAGGGAGAGGGAGAGAAAGGAGGGCTTAGAGAGAGAAAATAGAATATCTCATGATTCTAGAGAGAGGAAAATGTATATCTCATGGTTTTATTCCCTATACCTCCTGGTCTATCATACTTTAACCGTGGCAAAATTTATTTATTTTTCCCCAAGTTTATTTCTTTCCATTTCCTGCGTTTCACACGGTTGGTATAATTCCAGGGATCGGGAATATGCGGCTGCTTTTTCTAACCCAATGAAAAAAAGGGAAAAGTTTATATAGAGCTGAGGCTCTAAACAATCAAATTGGAGCCTACAACAAAAATTTCACTAGAAGAGGTTGTTTTGATGCTCAAATATCCTCAAATTGATCATCTCGACATCAAGATGTATGGACACGAAAAAAAAATGGATTTCAAGTTCTGAAAATAGTGTATTTTGTAACACATTTTTGGACCGTCAATTTTGAAGATTTTCAAGTTTTCATAGATATGTCGATCTACACTATTTTTGAAGCTTTAAACTCTATAAATAAAGATAAAATTACGTTTTAAGGCTATCACAAAGATTTCCAGTATTAAAACCACATTTCTCGATACTATTTGAAGGTAGGATCTAATTTGGTTGTTTAGAGCCTAGGCTCCATATAAACTACACCCATGAAAAAAAAAAAAAAGTAAAAAAAAGAGTTTTTAAGACAAAACATCTAAGGTTTGAGATTTTGGAACGGGATATCTTTGTCCTGGTATTGCTTTTCGGTTTGAATGTTTTGGGAATTAGGGGACAATTTAGGGCTGTTGATGGACCGGGTTTAGGTTGGGCCAAACTTACGTTGAGCCACGAGAAATTTAATTTTGGAAGAGGCTAGGGTAAGGTTACAAATTCACTTAGTCGAGTTGAGGCTAAGGTTATGGAATAACTCTGTCAGTCGAAGAAAGTGAGATGTTGTATATAATAATGAGGCCTGAGCCCAGCCCAGCCCAAGACCAAGAAACAATCGGGCTCGGCCGGACATGCCCTATAAAAATACAAAAGGAGTACTTAATATTATGTGATAAAAATCAGGGCAGGCTAGTGGTAGCCCGCATCTGGCCCAAAAATATTTGGAGCCTACTAGGCCTGCCCCACGGGCCTTAAAATGCAGCACAAATCCAGTCCAAAACTAGGCCCTACATGAAAATCCCCAGCTAGCCCCCACCCATTAAGAACCCAATGTTTTGTCTTTTGAAATTTTGTCATGAGCACATGTATAGTGCCCCCATGGGAGCTTATCGTACAATTACTCTCTCAGGTAGAAGACTTATGTAGCATACATTTTTTGTATCCAAAAGTTTGGGATTTATCTAAATATCAATAAATGATTATTTTCATTGGAAAAATTGGATTTTTAAGTTGGTTATTAGGTTCTAGAGGTGGCTCGTGCGTTCTTTGATTCATTCACCAAGGCAATTGATGTCTTTAGTAATAAATTCGAAACATTCAATATTAGTTTCGGTCCTCACATTGTCCTTCTTGGGTAAGACGTGAGATTAAGAAGATATCGATGCTTAGAACGAATAATGTATTACTTAGAGTCTTGACTAACCAGGGTAACCTCGTTTATCGAAGTGCATAATGAG